TTGAGTGCGGAAGGCTCGTCTATGCTCGCAGCTCGCTTATTTATCTATCTATCTATCTATCTATCTATCTATCTATCTATCTATCTATCTATCTATCTATCTATCTATCTATCTATCTATCTATCTATCTATCTATCTATCTGTCTAGCTCTATCTTTGCATGAAGACAGGTCCCATTTCTTGGAACGCGAATACAGTTCAACAGGGAAGTCACTGTCGTGGAGATGTGGACGTAATCCTGTAGAACAGGGAATAAATACCACCGTGTAGCTATAATCATAGGTCAGCAGAAATCTGAATTCCGTGTAAAATGCGTATTTCTGAACCACTCGGTACAGTAAATATGCAAGCATCCATGGATAACCATAAAACGACTATCGACATACCATTGGACAACTGACCCTCTGAAGACGTTTTTAGTTTACAAAACAAATAAACAAGATCTCGCAGTTTTTATTATTGCTTTTAACCGCGAAAGATGACGTTTCGGGGAGAAAAAACACTCAACATTTATTGATTCTTGAGGAAAATGTCGTCTGTCACCCGGGACCTGGTCCCCGATAGAAGGAGTTAACGCAAAATACGATACCCACGCACCCACCTAGACTAGTAAAAAATAACTTGCGATTTCCTCCTGTATGACCCCGCGGTTAAATCAGTCGTCCAGTAAATAGTATTAAATGAGAGAGCAGTAATAAGTCTATGGTGGTTATTTGCGGTTGAGCACACACACTTGCCACACGTTTTTTTCTAAATTGAAGAGGTGCTCATAGATCTTTACGATTGGTTGGTTCCGTGCGTCCGTGTGTGCGTCTGTGTGTTTAATTGCGTCTTTTGCGTGTGCGCGTGCGTGCGTGCGTGCGTCCGTGCATGCGAGCGTGTGCGCGTCTGTGTGTTTCATTAGCCGTGTGTGCGTCTTGTGCGTAATTGTGCTGTAATTGCGTCTTGTGTGCGTGCGTGCGTACGTGCGTGCGTGCGTGCGTGCGTACGTGAGTCCGTGCGTGCGTGCGTGTGTGCGTCTGTGTGTGTGTGCGTGTGCGTGTGCGTGTGTGTGTGCGTGTGTGTGTGTGTGTGTATGCGTGCGTGCGTACGTACGTACGTACGTGCGTGTGCGTGTGCGCGTCTGTGTGTGTGTTTAATTTCGTCTTTTGCGCGTGTGCGTGCGTGCGTGCGTGCGTCAGTCCGTGCGCGCGTGCGTGCATACGTCTGCGTTGGGTGTGCATTTGACGCCGGTTCGCGCTGTATATCGGCTGGTAACTTTCTCTACATCGCGCGACGAAATGCCAGCATGGTGCATTCCAAGAGAGTAGCGGCAGCTGCCTGGATATCGATTAATCGATGGATCGAGTCACTTCTCCGCTTAATATGCTGACCTATGAGCGGCGGGCTTGCAGCGGTATAGCGTCTGCTAGTGCTGTGACATGTCGCTTATCCACGTCAAAATGCAGCCGAACCTGCCCCCCTCACCAATAATCGCTACAGAACAATTATCGTACCAGAGGTAGAGTCACATCTCTCGCTATGGACGGACCTTTACTATAGCCATGTAGACGGTTCTAGATCGTACTCATAATCGGGTTTAGAGAGACCGTTATTATATAATTATATAATATAAGTCGATTTATTTCACTCAGAGTGGCCAGCTAATTACTGCACCTACCTCTACTTAACCCTTTATTCGGCCACAGGCCTACACAGCCCTTATAGAAGTGTGAATGAGCGATAACTAAATGCTATACACCCAGATACTTACTGTGGCTAGACACTCTTTCTTCGTTATGGCCAAGCCACGGTTAATATGAAAGTACTATAAGAGAGAAGACTATGATTATTGTTATGATCCGCCCGTACGCGAGAACAAGGTATGAGCGCCGCAAAGCAACTGATGAAAACCAGGAAAGTGGTAACATCACGGTATACTAAACTTATATTATCAGTTAGCCTGTAAGGGCGATAGTATGTTCGTCTATTGTCACTGCATTATTTCATTATTTCTTGCGTCCTAAAGAATTCATTTGATCCTGTTTACAGAAATCCTATATACATATATATATATATATATATATATATATATATATATATATATATATATATATATATATATATATATATATATATATATATATGCATACATACGTGTACTACATGTACATAATGTAACAGAACGGCGTCAGTGACAGAATGAAATAATTTATATACGCGTTTACCGATCGTATCACTCGTGTTTACTTTGTTTATATACATAGTTCGGATACAGCCAGCTATAACTATGGATCAATGCCGTAACTTTGCCAAGGAAAATTTGTCAAGCGTGCGTGCTATTGCTGCTGCTGCTGCTGCTGCTGCTGCTGCTGCTGCTGCTGCCGCTGCTGCTGCTGCTGCCGCTGCTGCTGCTATGTGTAGCCATGGTTTCCTTTCAGCAGTCACTTTGCTTCCCGAGTCTGTGATTAGTATAACAAACAGTGAATAAACCAATTGTGTTTCACTCACTCCAAATATAACTTATGTGTGGCCGCGGATAAATATAGACTAAGAAATACTTTCATGCCAGAAGTGCTTTATAAATCGATCACCACCGCTAATCACCTGTGCGCAGGTATATAGCATTGCTAGTAAAATTCTGCATGTAATAAATATAAATATTAAAAAATTAACTGAAAACAAGTATGGTTTTACTCTTGATTGAATGCAAATGCGATAGCATACGACAGCACACTGGCAATGTATTCTAAATCCGTAATAAAAAAACAGTTATTATATAAAGTTGCTTCGCATTGACTTCGGGTAACTATTATATTGTTTTTTTACCTAGAATAATTGGGAGAATTCTTAACATAGATCCTAGAATCAGAATCTGTCACGTGACCACAAGCACCTGGCAAGTCACGTGACCACAAGAACCTGACAAGTCACGTGACCACAAGCATCTGCACGCGCGCACGCACTTTGGCTAATTTCGTTTAATCTTCGACGTTTCGATGAAACCTGACGAGACTTATTACTAAATATATTTACACTGCGAAACTTCGTTACAATGATGGGTTAAATAAGATGTAGGTAATCAACTTTGTTACTCGGTTCCTATTAACACCTTGGAAATCTCTCTCTAATGCCACGTACATAACATTTTATTCCATTCATATTGTACAATATGGTAAAATACACCTTTCTTAACTCAAACTTGTTTAGATTTCAATGCCGATACTTCATGTATGTCGATAGGAAAATTGTAAATCTGAAAATCGCATGTGTCACTGGAACACTTTCAAAGCGTGAAATTGTCGGCATGAGTATTTCATGGCGTACTTCACCTCCTATGATGTTCATAATTTAGAAGCTCTGTATACTAGAATGCTCTCTAGCAATCTAAAGCGAAGCATCCAGCTGTCAGTTGCGTAAAGACGACGTGACACTGTTGTCATGAACATGATAAGCAATATGCAAAATATTATTTACTCGGCATTATTTACTCGACTTCTAACATGCTTCCTTTGATGGCTAGAATCGATATATATATATATATATATTGTGTGTGTGTGTGTTTGTGTTTATATAGAGCTATAAATGAAGCGTGAGAAGTGTGGAGGGAGGAAGTGAAAGCCGTATGAAAGTCTTAGCGATCTTAGCCATTACTGTTAGGACTGGAATGGAGACGTATATGTAAGGATTGCTAATGTGCTAAAATCAGGCAAGGGTGAGCAAGGCAGCGTGATAAATATAGCCCCTAAATTATAGGTGGGAATTGAGAATGTATGTTTCGAGCATAGGAGGGGGATGCTGATTAAGGAACTCAGTCCGTTAGCAAGGGAATAGGCGCGCGAGAATAGTAGCCATGAAGCTCAATGAGGTCAAAACATTGATTGATTCATTAATCATGATTGATTCATTAATCATGATTGATTGATTGTATAAGTGACAGGTACAAGGACGTGTTAGAGGGATGAGATCAGTTGATAGTCAGTAGCGTGAGTGAAAAACTGGAAAGCTGGTTATCTTGTGCAATATGCAAATGCGGTGTTGCGGATGATAAGAAGGAATGAATATGGGAAAATATCACCAACGTGATCAAGGACGTTCTCTACGAACTCTCCATCTTAACAGAACGAAAAGCTGATGTTAGCAGAGCGGCTGCTTCAGACATGGCGACAGCTAGTGATTCTAGCGGAAGGATCTGCCAATCTGCAGCCGAAGGGCAATAAAGTACTTACCAAGAAAAACTGATTTCTCCGCTTCGTGGATTTAGTGTTGTTTTACCGTTGATATGTAATCCCTCGTTCCGGATCTGTTGCAGAATGTCTTTACGGATTTGGAGATCCTATCTGCCATATACTCCGGTGCAATACACGACGTCGACCATCCAGGCGTCACTAACCAATACTTAGTCAACACGAGTAAGTACACACCCATATGTAGCTACAGATATCCCATCTCATTTCTCTGAGCAGTCGTGATTTACTACCGTTGAAACATACAGTGGTGTTTTAATCGAAATAAATCATTGCTGTCCACGAGGACGCAGCGATGTGGGTTTTAATTGAGTGCGGAAGGCTCGTCTATGCTCGCAGCTCGCTTATCTATATATCTATCTATCTATCTATCTATCTATCTATCTATCTATCTATCTATCTATCTATCTATCTATCTATCTGTCTAT